CCCCTGGTAATCAACGGGGCCGTGTTGGCTGCCTAGATGCCCAGTCACCTTATGAGTCATCCAACACGGCTGTGTTCAAGCCAACACGGCCGTGTTCAGTTCTAGCTAACTATTTTGGACTAAAATTGATAAATTTTCATTTAAGTGAGACTAAAATTGATAAAAAAAAAAATTTGAACGAGACTTAAATTGATAATTATGATATTGAATGAGACTAAAAATGATTTTTGCTCAATTTTTTTTATCAATTTGGTCTCATTCAAATGAAAATTTATCAATTTTAGTCTCATAATGGTTGACTGGAACTGAACACGGCCGTGTTAGGCGTTGATTACCCAGCATTGAACATGGTCGTGTTAATGCCCCTGTTCACGGCCATATTTTGAACACGGTCGTGTTCCGTCTTCATGTCTATATTATGAACACAGTTATGTTCTGGTCAGGTTCATGACCTTGTTCTTAACACAATCATGTTTTAGACTATATTTGACCATGTTTTCAATATAATTATATTGTTATTGATCAGTATTATTTTAATTTCTTTATTAAAATTATTTTATATATATTTATAATTTAACAAAAATATTTTTTGTAATTATTTTTAAAATATTAAAAATTGATTATTTTTTATATGATGAAATAATTGTAATTTTTTTTTATAAAAATAATAATATTGTTATATATATTTTTAATAATCCTAATTATATATATTTTTCATAATTTTTTGAAAAATTTAAAAATAAATTTAATTTATAATTTCAGAAATATAAAATATAAAATAATTAATTTAAAATAATATTTAAAAAATTTTACTATAAAATTTGAAATATATATAATTATGAATATTAAAATATATATTAATATATTATTATTTTTATAATTTTTTTTAAAATTATTTTTAAACATTAAAAAATAATTTTTATTTTTTTATATATATATTATGAAATAATTACAAAAACTATTTTTGTTAAAAGCCAAAAGATCGTGATTCAAGATAAATTCATGAGGAAGTGGTATTTATTTAGGTTCCACTCAAGCTATATCAATTCACAACATTTCTGCCAACCTCATTCGCTGTCTCCTTCTAATCCGCTGAGTGACCTGTGGAGATTTAGTTGCTTTCTCCTTATTATAAATATACATTAGGGTGTGTTTGTTTTGAGGGTTTGAATTTTGAATTGGGATTTGAATAATAAAAATTTTGAATTTGAATAGTTGTATGATGTGATATAAATAGGTGTTGATGTGATGTTTTAAATGTAAAATTAATTTTTAGTATAATATAAAAAATAAAAAATAGGTGTTTGATTTGATGTTTTTTGGGGAGAAAAAATAGGATGAATAGTGAAAATTAAATCCAATCCCCCAAACAAACACAAGTTTTGTCAAATAAGTGAAAATAATACTAATCGATATGACCTACAATACGATTATATTGAAAAGATGGTCGCGAACCTGACTTATAACATGAATGTATTGAGAACAATGAACATGACCTAGAATGTTGAGAACATGATCATGAACATGGACAGAAATATAATTGTTTCGAAACACGGACAGGAACACGGCCGTGAACAGGGGCATCAACACAGCCATGTTCAGTGCTAGGTAATCAATACGGCCATGTTGGCTGTTTGGGGCGCTCAGTCACCTTATGACTCGTCTAATATAATAGTGTTCAAGCCAACACGGCCTTATTCAGTCCCAGTCAACCATCATGGGATTAAAATTGATAAATTTTTATTTGAGTAGAACCAAAATTAATAAAAGAAATTTCAATCGGACCAAAATTGATAATTATAATATTGAATAATACCAAAAATAATTTTTGCTCCATAAAAAATTAAAACTAGATAAATATATACTGTATTAATATTTATTTTCTCATCGTAAGTCTACGCACCATTGGGATTTGATGATTGGGTGGTTGAGAATTGATGAGGGAATGTTCCATCCCACTATGTGTATGTTGTTATTGTCAACGTATCCCACTGTGCTGCTTATTTATGCATCTAATATTACATAATTGCTCACCATATGTTTGACGTTTCCACAACCATCGTACTCCCGCCGTTCCAAAAATATAGTTTTATTGTGTTGGGTACGAGATTTAAGAAATATTGATATTATATTGATAGTTGGTAAAAAGTAAGGATAAATAACTTTTTTGCCCTTGTGAGTATATTGGTGTAAAAAATAGTGGCAATTGTGTAATAATAATAAAAATATAGGGATAATTTTATGGTGATATAATTATTTATACAAATGAGACCATTCTTTTGGGACGGACAAAAATGATAAACAAGACTGTTGTATTGAGACGGAGAGTATTTGTTATGCCACGGATCAGCATCTGTGCTGATGCACAAAAATCTATTCTGTTTAATTATATTAATTATATAATTTAATTATAAAAATTAGTATAATTATATTTTAACTTGTCAGCACAGGTGCTGAATAAATTCAATCAGCACCTGATCCGTGCTGATTTGTTATAAGATTTTTTTTATTTTTATAATTGTATTTTTAAACATATAATTCATAAATTTTCCGCTAAAAATAATTTATTTGGGTCTAATATCATTTTTTTTAAAAAAAAAATATTTTTAATAAGAAAAAAGAAAAATAAAAAACCGTTGATCGTTTTTTAAAAATTTTAGTTGGTATTTAAAAAATGTGATAATATAAGTTATGTTTATTATAAATAAATGCTGAATTGAGAGTAATAATTTAATATTAATTTATTTGTTTTGTCAAATATAGTAATTGGTAAATTTAATGGATACATAAAAAATATGAAAATAAATTAAATAGACGAGAAAGATAACGAGTATTTTATTATGGGAAAGGATTAAGGTGTTAATTTGAAAAAATTAGCATTCCAAATCAGCACATGCAAAATATCAAAATAACACATGTCTAACAACTACACACAATATGTGCAGCGTGTAATAGACACATATGTTGTTTATTCATAATTACAGCATATGTCATATAAGAGTATATCATGTGTTAAAATCAATTGTTATACATGTTGTGTAATACTATATTATGTGTTGTATTTGTATTATAATTATAAATAATTTGTTGTCGATAGTAGTATCATGTGCTATTTATTAGCGCACTACCTGCTATTTAACATAGTGCTGAATTTTAGTTTGTATAATGTAGATGTTGCCTTTCATTATATATATATATATATATTAACTAGTATATCATATGTATACTTTGTATTAAAAATATAATCCATAAATTATATGTATTTTTGCCTATAAGCGTTTGTTTGAGGGATTGAATTTTGAGTTGAGATTTGAATAGTAAAATTTTTTAATTTAAATAGTTATATGATGTGATGTAAATAGGTGTTGATGTGATGTTTTGAATGTAAAATTGATTTTTAGTATAATATAAAAAATAAAAAATAAATGCTTGATTTGATGTTTTGGAGGAAAAAAATGGGATGAATAGTAGATTGAAAATCCAATCCCCAAACAAATAGACCCTAATATGTTTTTTCCTAAAGAAAGTTTTAATGTTTGAATTGAATTTGCAAGTTTAAAAATTTTGTTTAAAATCACATATTTAATGTGTGTTTTAAAAAATCGAAAAATGTGTAGTTTAATTAGTAAAAATATAAAAATATTTAAAAGAAATACACGAAACTAATTATTTTATATAATTAAAATATTATAAAATACTTATATAGAATTAATATAAAATTAATTTTATAAAAAGTAATTTTTTAATTATATAATTATATTTGTTTAATAAAATGAAAAATAGAAATATAATATTTTAGATGACTATCCAATAAATGTAGGGTTTGTTTGTAGAATATTTTTTTCAACACGTTTTTAATATATATATATATATTTTATAATTTTATAAAATTATTTAAAATAAAATATTACTTTTATATTATCGAGATAAAAAAAAAATTCAAATTAAAACATTATACAAACAAACCCATAATATTTTTTAAAAAAATTAAAACATAGTGCAAATTTGTATTTAACCAATAATCATACACATCCAACTTAAAAGTATATATTTTTATTTAAAAGGTATTTTAATTCTCCCTTCCTCCAATGATTTAGGGAGGACAGTTTAATGACATTTTTCTCTTACTTTTTAGTATAAAAGTAACGATGCGATATAAAATAAATGTATTTGTAGAAAAAAGTGAAATATTTAATGAAATGTTTACTTTTTAATTAAATATCCCAAAATAAAAAATGTGTATAAAAGCGGAACTGAGGGAGTATACATTTTAAATGAAGAAAAATAATACTCCTTTCGTCTCATTGAAATATTGTCATTTTTCATTTTCGTCTATCCCAAAACAAGATAACCATTTTATAATTTAATAATTGTACTACCTACCTAACATTATAAATACTCTTTCAACTTACACTATATTAAACAAATGTCTTCATCTTTTTCAAAACAATCTATTATAATACTAATATTTAAAAATCTACTTGCAAAAAGTAAACTGTAATTTTATTTTGGGACGGATGGAGTATACATATTTTTAAAAGTAAGCAATAAAAAAATTCCTTGATAGTCAAATAAACATTGTCGTCTAATGAAGTATTTAAAATTAGTACAACATCGTCCATATTGTGTGTTTTGGTCACCGTAGATACGAGAATTTAAGATAAGTATAATTAGTAGATAATTAAGAATGTATTAGTAAAAATAATTAACTTATAATATAAATCATTATAGATTAAGAATAAGATAACTAATTAGTTTAATTAAAATTAAAAAAGTTAAATTAAAAAATTAAATTAAAAAATTTAAAATAAAATTAAGATAAAAAATAATTTCAAAAAAAAAAAAAAATGACATTAGATATTAGACGAATAAAAATGAAAATATACTTATTATACAAATATGCAAATGCTAAAAAGAAAATTGTTTTTGTCAAACAAAAAGTCGGATTTATTTATAAACGCAAACAGCCACTAATAATGAATGATTATTTTTTTATATTGTACTACATATACTTTTCTTCTCCGACAGATCATTCCGAATTTTCTCTCTCAAATCAAGGGAGAGAGAAAAACACAGAGAGACAGAGAGCCATAACCGTCCGGAGAAAATGTGTCCGCTGCGAATAATTCTGATCTTCCTCTCCGCTACCCTCGCCGGATTCTTCGTACTCAGAAACCTCAAGACGCCGCTGCCGAATTCTGAAGATGAGAAAGAGAAAGTCGTCGGCGAAGAATTTGAATCCTCCAATGTGGCCGTTCCCCTTTCCTCCAAGGTTTTCATCTTAGTATTTTTCCTGTTTTTGCTTATACTTTACTCTAGAAAACACAGAATTTGAATCATTAGAAGCTGGATGAGTGCGATTGTGGAGGAAATGTTGTTATATTATTGAATTATTTTGCTTTTTTTTTGTCGCTTCTTTCTGTTTTGAGGCCTCGAGGAAAAGTATTGTGGAAGCGATTTTGTTTTTGGAAACTTAGCTGGAAATTGATTTTAATGTTTTCGAAAATGATGTGTTAATATTGAAAAGAATTGGTTTCGTTAGGTTTGCAGCGCGGTAGGGAAAGGCTTCTGGACTTGCGTGGACATGGCGAGTGGAAGGTACTTGTGGAGGAATTTGGTTTCTTCATCCGCATCTTCAAAAGACGATTGATTTGATCGGTAATCTTGTAAATGACACTATTAATTGAAGACTTTGGTGGTTTTCTTGAAGTTGTTTTTGTGGTGTGTTATCACTTCTTGATGCTGAATTCCTAATATGTTCATTGTAGAATTATCCACGCGCTTTATACATGAGAAATTCTATGGCTCAGAGTTTGTGTTCTCTTAGTTATTACCAGTGTCTACTATTTAGGCACAATACGTCGCCCGTTCTTTCTAAGAAACTGAAAGTATCCTAAAAAATGTAAACTTCTCTTCCAAAAACAATGAGGAGACGAACAAATTTGATGAAAGGGAAGAAATCCAATTGAATGGAAAGAAAGACGAGTTCATGGATTTCTTTTCCATCTTGTAATGAAATGTTTCCTCGTGTAGGTTTCAATCTATTCATTGCTATATCATTACCAGTTAATTAATGGCTATGACAGATCTTGTTGTCAATATTATTCGGAATGCAGGTATATGTAAACAAGATGGATTTTATTGAAGTGCAAATCAGAAGAACATGAATGAAATAGCTTTTGCATTCCTCTAGTAGTTTTAGGAAATATTTAACACCAGAACTGGTTAAAGTCTAGGTTAAGTTAAGTTTTAGCTGTAGTACTAAATCTAAAGCATAAAGTATAGCTTATGAAAAAAAGAAAAGAAGTTTAGTTTATGATATTTTGGATAGTGGAATGGAAATGTATAAAGAATGATCTAACTACTTTATGAGAATTAAATATGAGTAAGGACAAGTGAAAAATAGAATTAAACAAGAATTAAATGAAGTAGAGAGAATAGAGTGAAAATAGACCTGATACAGGATAATCATAAGAAAAGAGGATTAAAATTAATCATGGGCTGTAATCAAATGATCCTTATCCATGTGGGAATAGATTTGGAAGGAGGAAGAATCAGTTGACTTCTATCACTAGGCCTTCTTGTGTTGTGGATGGATCATGGTTGTTCTTCTTTGTAGATAAGAACAGAGGAACGTGACATCTATAATACTTGATCTATGTTGGTTGGTCATAAACTTTACGATAATTCTCATTCTAATGAAAAATATGTCTGTCTTTACACTTGCAGCGTTTGTTAAACTTATAAGATCATTTTCTTAGATATGGTGCTTATCATGTTCTGTGTTTTTCATGAATATATCTTTCTGAAGGATTCTGTTTTAATTGTTTAAAAGAGACTCGGTTATGGCTGTGTGCCTCTTTTGTGTTGTATGCATTCCCCAACTGACATTTGTTTCATAAAAATGAGGGTAATAAGATTGAATGTAACCCGAAAGTCCACTTGTTAGGAATGAATTGCCTTTGCTAATCTTGAGGTGTAATGAAGAATTCCAAGCAATGATTCATTTAGCCCGTGAAGGAAAGACGGAAAGTATGAAACATGGGTAGCATTTTTATTTTATTATTATTTTTTTTTTCTGATGTGAAGTTGTCGATAAATTGTCCATTGAAGTTTCCATTGCCTTTCCACTTGAATGTGTTTCTTCATAATACTGTGGTAGGTTGTTCACACTTTGGGACATTTGCTGGCTTCTACAATACATAAGAGTTAGGAAATTCCTGGCCTTAATTGTGTTTTTCCATTATTACTTGATTTCTGAAGCTTGTGTATACATTGCATATGGGTTCTATTTTTGGTGATTTGGGTTCTGAAAATGTTATGATGAAATAATTGTGGCAGGGTGTTTCAGGAAAAAAAGAAAAGAAAAATATACATATAGAAATGTATTGTGAACTGAATAGTGTGCTAAAATGGAAAGTAGAAAAAATAGAACTAGCTGTTGTGTGATAAAATACTAATATTCAGTTTCATTGAATGTTAGATGTGCTTTATTTCAACTATTGATTGGTACTTTGGTAGGCTAGGATTAGATGATGAGATGGGATACATTTATATTAGAGCTGACAATGGGTCGATTCGTGTCGGATTGAATACTTTAAACGGATTAAATTACTCAATCCTAACCCAATCTGTTTATTATCGTGTCGGGTTCGTGTTAACCCGTTTATTATCGTGTCGAGTTCGGATTGACTCGTGTTGACCCGTATACATAATTAAGTCGAATTTCTTGATTCAAATTAAATAATTTTTTGTTATGTTGTCGTGTTATGTTAGTTTTTATTGATTTGAGCCTAAATTAGGTTGAATTATTTAAAATTGAACTTAGTTTAAATTAATTTATGAGAAAATTATTAAATTATGATTATTTTACATATATAATAAATATATTAATCAATATTAATATATTATAATTGGGTTGTCGTGTCGAATTCGAGTTGAGAGCTTCAACCCTAACCTGACCCGTTTACTATCGTGTCGGGTTCGTGTCAATCCGTATGCATAATCGGGTTGAAATCTTTGACCCAAACCCAATTATATCGTGTCTTGTCGTGTCGGGTCAGTTCTTGCGAGCTCTAATTTATATTACCAACAAAAGGCTCGTATTGTTTAACAACTTTTCACAATTGATTTATGTAACAAAATTATCATATTGGTTGTGAGTGATAGCCTGCTGGTGTGAATTATATAGTTATTATGCAATTTTGTTATATATTCATTCTGTCCATGGCATAAACATTCATTTGAGTGGGATAGTTTTAATCTGTCAATTAGACAGGCAAGATAAAGACACAAAAACTTTATCATTTTGAATCACAAGCAGGCTCACAAACGAATCATGTTAGATCGGATTTATGTTCAGGTCAGTTATAAATGTATTAGAAAATCTTTGACCTGAACATGATACATTCAAATAAATAGGTAATCTTTGTAACTTTAACCCGATCTTTTATTAATCGGATAACATGTGTATGTCTAAAATTTTTAAATTTTAATTTAAAATTACAATCTATTAACAATATTTCAAATGCATAATATATATAAACATATTAAAGCAAAAACTATTTATTCATCTTATGAAACTGATATTCAAGAGTCGAATAAACAAATACTACATAATAATATATACATTTTCCTTGTTAGCTTTAGCTATACGAGGATGAGAAACTTTATTTTACAATCCTTTGTTTAATCTTAATTTTGTAGAATTTTAATTTTAATTTTATTTTTTTTTTATTTTTTATTTTTAGAAAATTGGTCATGAATATTTAAATTGGATTGGTAAAATTTTTAAAAATCTATTTAAATTTAAAATAATATTAACTAAACAGGTTAGACTAGTTATTTTTAGGTCGAAATTTTGATGCTAAACCTGACCTATTTAATTAAATGGGTTAAACTAGTTTGACCAATTATTATTTGGGTCAAAAATTTCAACTCAAACCCAACTATTTTGAGTCAGGTTCATGTCGGTTAATTTTTGTGGGCCCTAAACACAAGTTTATCCACTACATAATTTTCAAGCCTATTTGATCACATTTGTGCTAAAGATTGGTTAAGAGAACAAACCTAATGATTAATTCCAAAAAATAAAAACACATTTTCATGAGAAATATTCAATTTATTTTAATAGATTGGCCATACAGGTCAACACGACTCCTTTCGGTAGGATTTTTGAAAAAATCGAAAAGAAATGTACATATTATTAATTTGAATAGTCTACTCAATTTATTTTAATTGCACCGGATGATATGCTTTAGCCTTAATATTGAAACGTTTTCCATGCAACAAAAATATGTTGTGATATTTTATTGTTAAAGGTCTACTGTCATTGCTATTGGAATGCTTTTGTGTGTTTGGTTGAAAAATTTTGATCGATTTTTACTTTCATTAAAAAATTCTTTTTTAAAAATATTAAAATAAATTTATTTTTTAATTTTACATTTAAAACATATGATATTATACTATTATTTCAATTCTTTTTTTTTTTTTGTTCAAAATCATAAAATTCAAATCATGTATCTTAATTGACATATTTTTTTGTTTGTATGTCTCGTAACAATTAATACATTTCTAATTGGATGAAATTTACTAAATCAAAGCATACTTAACAAATATAAATAACTTAATTAACTATAAAACATATAACATTATGTAAAATCAACTCAAAACCTGTTGATGAGATCCTTTGGCACTACGGGGTCTTGATTGCGTCACGTTGCTAGTGCTGTCATGTGGCGGAGGAGACTATTTCATATATTCGGAGGCCGCTCGGCGAGTTCGGAACACTTTGCGGCACTATTTGGAATTCATTACCGCTGAGAAGTACTCCTCACCTACTTGTGTCTTCGTGTAGGCTATCATTGGGGCTTTCTCAAAGTATTAGGGCATATGCTCTGTTGTTGATACTATGGTTCATATGGATTGCTCGGAATGATGCGAAACACAAAGGGCTTCACGTTTTTTTTGAGAGAATCATCTGGCGGATTCATTCACACTTACAGACTCTATGATGCGATAGGATTCTTCTATGACGGCATTGGGAAGGTGATTTTCATATTGAACACGGGCTTGGTTTTCGATATCCTCCACCGATTCATCGCCCTCTAATTATGGTGCGTTGGGAGGCACCATATCTGGGATGGTTCAAGCTTAACACAGATGGTGCTTTATTTGGAAATCTCGGAATGGCAAGAGCAGCTGGCAGTATTTGGAATTCAGTCGGTGTGGCGATAGTGGCCTTTCAGACTCCGATCCCACATGCGATGAACACTTTGGCAGAGCTGACAGCGATTCAAATAGGAGTGAATATAGAGATTGATCGAGGATTGGTGCCATTATTGATCGAGATAGACTTGACGGCATGTACTTCTTTGATCTCCTCCGAGTCGAGCCATTGGACGCTTCAGCGATGCTTTCTCCGTCTTCTTTTGCGACTTCGGGGGGTGACTTGGCGGATTTCTCACATATATAGGTAAGGGAACCGTGCTGCGAATACTTTGGCGACTATGGCAATTTTCCTTCTGATCGAGTGGATACTACCGAAAGATCTTCCTCCGGCCTCCTTAAGACGATGCAGATGGACTCCCGAGCTTCCGTTTCAAGTAGCACGCTTCACTCAGATTTATTGCTTTTGATGATTCTATAGTTGGGATTCATACCTAGACATTATAGGCTTAGCGTTGATTGGTGTTTTATCCCTTAGGCATGTTTTCTTTGGGCTTGGACACTTAGATTCCTAGGCTTGTTTTTTTGTCTGTTTACTTTACTTAGATTATGTAGTTTATATCAGCAGAACTATGTACGGATTGATCCCGTTTGGGTACGTAGGTAGCCCACTTTGGGTGCAGCCGCTGCTATATATTTAAAAAAAAAACAGTGCATACTATATCATAATTCTTTTCCCCACAGGAAGAAATATAATAACTTCTCCAGAGTCTTCAATTATTTTGTACTATCATTTATTGTATTGACATTCATCTTTAGCAGCTTCAGAGCTTTCAATTAAAATTCTCTAACACCACAATCTCAACGTAGCAAGCGGTGCCGAGATCTATCCACAGGGACTATGTAGTTTAATTATCGTTTTGCCACAAAGAGAGGGGAGAAGATTAGAAGACTCAACTACAACATTTGAAATAAACAATGCTAAATAAAAATCGAATTTCAATGAGATTAAATTTATAGCCCAATGGGTGAATAAGAAACCGGATTAAAGATTTGTTCATTGATTTTAAACAATCTTGTTGTTCAATTGTTAAATTGGTTATAAGAATTTGATATGGTCCTAACTCCCAATATTTTCTTACTTTATTGACGAAAATTGTACGACCGATTGACTGCATCCCTAATTAAAGAAGTAATCCAGGTACAACTATAGATTAATTTCCCCAATCAAAACTGGCACGAGAAAAAACCCAATTTAAATATTCATTTAATTACAAAAAGATTAAATTATTTAATTATGCAATTCTTAGGCTAAGCTTGTCAACCTATTTACCACTTCATTAAACAAATGCACAATTACGGATGTAAGTGTTTGATTGACATACAATTGCTAAACCAATCTAATATTTAGCCGTGATAAAAGATTAAATTAAACAATTGTAAGTATAAATCACAGAAATTATATAAATATCAACTTCATAAACAAGATTCAATTCAAATCAAAACATAATCTCACAAATCCGAATTCGGAATCTACATCAACCTTGGGCTAAAATAAAAGAAACTAGCTACTCATGTTTAGAAATAAATAAAACCGATAAAATGAGTGGCGCTTCCGCTCAAATTGCCTCTCTCAATCCTCTAAGTTAATGGCGTTGGGTTGGTTTATTTGGCGATCCTGCGCCACTTTTTGGCAACGCCAATTTTGATGTTGCACTGTAGGAACGTAAAAAAATGGCGTTGCTTTATATATATGTATATATATTTTAATTTTTTTTTTAAATTTTTATTTTTTTTTAATTTTAACTTTTTAATTTTTTTATTTTTCCGAATTTAAAAAAAAAATTATTTTAAATTATAATACTAAAAAGTTGTTTAAAATAATAGAAAAAAGGGAGTTATGATTGGAGTAAAATTACTATAGCAATTGCATATTTAGAGTTAAAACTGGATAAATGAAGTTAATGAGTTGGAGATGGCTTAAGTTGTGATCCTCAATCCAATGTCTTGATCCCTCACCCGCTGTTATAGATGAGTAAGTTTTCAGTTAGCTCCTTAATTGTTCAGTTTCATCTTCATGCCTAAAATTCACTAGATTTTTTACCCAAAAATTTGATAAAACCGCACATCATTCCACGAATCACTCCATTCTTAGCACCAAACGAGATTATTCCAAAATTAGTAGAAGTCTACCAAAATATTAATATTAATTTATAATTTATCTACAAAAATATACAACAATATATGATTCATCAATCTTTTTTCTTTTTAAATAAGAAAAATTATTTTTCGTGTTTTAATATAGTATGTGTTGTAACACTGTTAATGAAACATATATTAGCATAATTTTGATTGACGTTTATTTAACATTCAAATATAAATAATGCAGTATTTATAAGAGCTAATATAAATATTACAAAATATAGTATAAAATGATATATAAATAGTTTAAAGATTATCAAATAAAAATTAACATACTGTAAAATGACAAGGGGTTTGTTGGATTTCCGATAAAATCTACCATATCAAAATGCAATGTATCGTGATTCAAAAGATCATCGTGATGTCGCATTATTATCAATATGATTAGTCTTGACTCATTTCCCTTTTTTTTTCTGCAATAAAACTTGATAGAGATTAGCTTGGTGTTTGGGTGTTCTGCCACCCAATGGCCTTCAATGAACCTATGATAAATGTTGATTTGTCTCTTTTCATGTTTAGTCTTTTCAGCTACATTCATATATTGTGGTTTAGTTTGCTCCATGTTAATATCAAAACTGCGGCGATTGTAAAGAGTATATAGACTGTGTTGACTCTCACAACTGCAACTACGTCCATTGCCACATTCATAAAATATCACATTCGCTTTAGGGAATAGACTGGAACCAGTTGGTTGGAACTGATGATTTTTCATTAATAACCTATTATTTTGCTCAGCTAATAATAGACATGCTATGAGCTGTGAGAATTTTTCAAAGTTTTTCTCACGATACTGCTGTTGTAGTATCACATTAGAAAGATGAGTGATAGAGAGAGTTTTTTTCAACTTATCATTCTTAGTTATATTTTCTCCGTAAAGTTTTAAATGAAAAGTAATTGATGGCGGATAGTAAAGTTATACTATGTAACAGTTTTAAAATTCTGCAAATGCAACTTAAGCTAATCATGTCGAATTTTCAGGAGAGTAATATATTTCACATGCCTAAAATCTTTCACTCAATTCATTCTACAAATTAAGTGTATTTTTCACCGTCAAATATTCGACTATAAAACAATGTCCAAGTGATGATGGATAAAAATAACAGTCATAGTCCGATTTTGACTTGTAGTTGTATTTTCAGTGGAAATTGTATGAATAAGACCAGATGCATTTCTATATCCAGAAATCAAATAAAAAATTATTTTCGGTAGAAGTCAAAAGATTTAAAAGAAAATTTTACAATATTTGTCATAACATAGAAAATAAATAATATACATAATATAAAAAAAATATATCAAAAAAATAAAAAAAAATCTTCTTGCTGACAATGTATTATGATATTATTATAGGATTAGTCAATATAAATACAGCATATGATAATTATGTATAATATATTATGTTGTGTATATATTGTATATGTGGATATGTATATATGTGTATACTTATGTGTGTTATGTAGTATAGTAGGTATGCATGATATATTATTGTATGTGTTATTTATGTAATTAATGTATTTAGAGAGAGAAATGAAATAGCGACGAGAGAGAAGATGGGAATGGTGATTTTATTTCATTTCACTGATGTATATTTATAGGTAAAATAAATAATAAAACATGTATAATCATTGGGACATGGTACAATATTTTTTAGACATATGCTTGATGAAAATGACATCCACAACTAGGGTTGTTCAGATCCGGATCCACCCTTTTAATTCGGCTCCGGATCTGGTTTCGGATCCATTGGAATCTGAAAAATATGGACTGAATCCGGCCAGTCGGATCCGGTCCCGTTCGAATTCAATGTTGGGTTCAATATTTTTAGATCAAATTTAAAATAACTTAGAAAAAAAAAATTGTAAGTCTTGATGGAACTTGTCTTGATTGTTTTGGATAAAATGAATTTTGGACAAAAAATTTAAATTTACAAAATATAATATAAATATTTAATGATGTAATAGAATAAATAATAATATATAATATATAGTACCGGATCCAGTGGTTCCGGATGGGAACCATAAATACCGGATCCGGTATCATATAATACGAATCTAAATTTTAATGACGTCTCAGATCGGTGAAATTTATAACGGATTCGAATCCGGTTCGGAACAGACCCAATTGTATATATATATATATATATATATGTTTAATAATGATTTTTTTAGAGCAAACAACTTATTTTAGTTTATAAAGATGATTTGTTTTTGGGTTGGTAGATTGGGCTTAGTACAACTTCAATCAATTCCTTGTAAAGCCCGCATTTCAAATATTCTAGAGCAATTAATAATTAATATGGTTATTAAAAAAAGGGTTGATGTAACGGTCGAATTTCTGGTCTATACAAACCGAAGGAACTCATTGGATTCAAATAACAGTGTTAAAGATCAAAATGGGGAGAAAAAGATCCCCAAAATCTGCTGCTCCAGAAACCCTAATTTCTGGAAACGATAATGGGGAAAAGAGGGGAGGAGGATTCTTCGCGTGCTATTTGCTGACGTCGCTCTGCCCTCGATTCAAAGGCCACACTTACATCGGGTAAGAACTTGGATCGAAATCTGAATTTGAATTGAATTGAATCGAATCGTTACCTTTTTTTTTTTTTTTTTTGTTGTAATTTTCGATTGGATTGAATTCCACCATAGTTATACGGTGAATCCACGGAGGCGAATACGGCAGCACAACGGGGAAATCGGGAGTGGGGCTTGGAGGACGAAAAGGAAACGGCCATGGGAAATGGTGCTCTGCATCTATGGCTTTCCGACGAATATTGCTGCCCTTCAGTTTGAGTGGGCCTGGCAGCATCCCGTCGAGTCTCTTGCCGTAAGAAAGGCAGCGGTTGGCTTCAAATCTCTGTCAGGGCTGGCTAATAAGATCAAATTGGCTTGGACCATGCTCACTCTTCCACCTTGGGATAGGTCATTTACTTACCTACCTACCTACCTACCTACTTAAATCATTAATAAATTATACTATTTTATTTACTAAGGAATTGAATAAAATAATAGTCTCATTTTGCAATTTCTATTCTTACGAATCTAACTCTCCGATCCTTTAATAAAACTATTTTCACTTTTTTAACATTATTATTCTTTATTTGTCGTGCCAATTTCAAATGTTCCCAATTTTTTTTGGAAGTAATAAAATGATAAGATTAAGTAAAACAGTAGTGATAAATTGATTATTATTTGTTAAAGCAGGACGATTTAAAAATATTTCTTCATTTCAAACATTTTCTTGACGATTGTGGTTGTTGTTCTATTCGTTCATTCAGTATGAGTCTCACAGTCAACTTGTTTTCGACAAAATACCAAAAGCACATCTCTGGCTGCCCGACCTTGCCCTCGCAAACACGAACCCGTGTAAGCACCATGGATGAGTTGCCCTGTTACAACACAAATGCTGAAGAAGAAGATGATGATGATTGTGATGAAGAGGAAGGAGAAGGAGATGATGGTATTCTTAATGCCGACGCTACTTCTCTGGGAGCGACAATAGAAACGGCAAGGAGAAGCAGCCTAGTGCAAGTAGAACAAGATCTGGGAGATGAAGAAAATGGCAACGACAACAATGTCGATAAATCCCCATCCCCACAATGGAATTGGAATAGGAATAGGAATAGGAATTCGCCTCGGATCAATGGAGAAGATGATCATAATACCGGGCCACAGTCAACAATGTCAATTATCATTGCCGACGGGTCTCCAAGAACTGACAAGAACCAACATTCACCCGAGGTCATCGAAATCTTCACTCCTTTGTCATGCTACAACAGAATCAATTCATGCAGCAGCAGCAGCAAAAACAGAGGAGAAGGGCCAACTGAAATAATCGATCTCACTAACTCTCCTTTGTTTGTATAGTATCATATAGTAAGCATTTCTTACACACAACAAACAAAGACACCTTTCTAGAAGATGGTTTGTCATGATCATTGCTACTAGTGATTGATTGAAATGTTTTGCCGTATACACGTTGACTAGTGTAGTTAGTCTTTCTCCGCTTTGCTGGCTGGTACGGATTTCGTATTCCTGAGGTATACATACATACATACATAAAAAAGAGTATTGGAGGATCCATCAAAGTGAAACATCAAATGATAGAAGCAGGTGAAGAACATACCTTGTTAGCCGAGAAAGAGTATCAGGGTAGTTGATCAAGCTCGTCTGTCCTCGGATTGCTGCTGAGGTTGTGTTTCTTCACCTTGCCAACTCCATGCAATGTCACGAAGACCGGGCTTCAATCCCTCATTGAGTATTTTCTGATACTCTACCGTATCTCCATTTGTTTTCTTCACTTCAACCAAATGGACAGCAGGAGTGAGCACGAAGATCTCAGCTTCAATGCATAACACCCCTTTTCTACCTTCCTTCGATCCTTCTAACCTCAGCAATCCGGCATCCCATTTGCTAATCCTCAGCTTCATCCGTCTAGCAAGTTCTTCAAGCTTTGAGATTATAGCCGGAGCTGGTTTCCGGGAAATAAATCTAGCTTCTTTCCTCGTGCGAGGCCCATCAAACAAACTTGATAAGTCAAATCCAGATGATATGGATATGATATCGAATGCAGTGAGGTTCGAAAGTCTAGTCATATCTTGTTGGTTTTCTTGTGAGGTGCTACAATGGCACTTCTCACTTGAAGACTCACCTATGGAAGGTAGAGTTAATCCCCGCTTGAACCAAGAATTCTCCTTGATTTTTGCAATGGATATCCTACTATTCGGATTGGGATCCAGAATTCTTGAAAGCAGCTTCCGAGCTTCGGGAGGAAACCAGCTGGGACATCTGTAGTCAGCTTTCCCAATCTTTCTATACATCTCCATCAAATTTGAATCATGAAATGGAAGATAGCCAGCAAGCAAAACAAATAGGATCACCCCACAAGACCAGGTGTCGGCTTTTGCACCGTCATAACCTTTCCTACTAATTACTTCGGGTGCTACATAAGCAGGCGTCCCACATGTGGTGTGAAGGAGGCCATCTTGACGCCTCGACTCAGCAAGGGCGCTCAAGCCGAAATCAGAAATTTTCAGATTTTCATTCTCATCCAACAATATGTTCTCGGGTTTCAAATCCCTGTGATAGACACCCCGGCTATGGCAGAAATCGACTGCATTTATCAACTGCTGAAAATATTTCCTTGCAGCATCTTCCTTTAATCTCCCTTTAGCCACTTTATTGAAGAGCTCGCCCCCTTTAGCATATTCCATGACAAAATAGATTTTAGTTTTCGTCGCCATGACTTCATATAGGTGAACGATATAAGGATGTCTGACCAGCCTCATAATCGATATCTCCCTCTTTATTTGGCTGATGATCCCCACCTTCAAAATTTTATCCTTGTCGATCACTTTAATGGCTACACTCTGCCCGTTCTGTATGCTTCTACCATAATAAACTTTTGCAAATGTTCCTTGACCTAATAACCTTCCTAATTCATATCTTTCCATCAACACATTAAACTTACTACTATCCATAGGGAAAAAAAAGTGCTGTCAACTAACTAATCCAAGTTATTGTATATGACAATGATGCACAAGCATGGGGATTTAAGAAGAGGCTCAACCCTCACTGCACAATGCATCCGGACTATTAAAGTTCAACGAGATTCTTGAAAAATACCCACTTAATCTGAAGCCTATGTCTTCACTCTCATCTACAGTGAACAAAGGTAACTTAATGAACGATGCAGCATTGAGATCGTTAGAACAAGAATTCCTATTTTGAAAGAACATCTTTCTGCATACCCTTCCCCTCTTTTGACATCCAACAGGGTAAATGATGAGAAGTTTTGCAAGGAGTCCGTCAACTTCAGCACGCTGTTTGAAAGGTTACACAACAATTGTTAGTGAGGAGATTCACTGGACAATGAATAAAAGAATGAAATGTCATCCTATCATGATCATGGTAAGGCAAAATATATACATAGCAGCCGGACACAGATGATTGCAAAGCTTTCAGAACAAAAACGAAAGAATGGTAATCTAATTATTACTGTGAATTACAAATTCTAAGCCCTACCGAAATAGAAAGTGCTTCAACATGTGTTACATGCCACATCTATCAAAATAATTCCAATTGTGGATCAGCAGGATTGTTCGAATCTTAAGTTTCTTTACACTATCAACAGGCCTAATACAATTGTGCCACCACTAGAGCTGTACATAATAATTGTTCATAATTAAGAAATGAACCTATAAGCTGCAAAACAATTGATCCATCCAAAATCTAGCTCATACGACCCAAAAACAGCATGTAGAATAACCAACTTCAAAACACCAAGTAGCAGATTCTTGCTTTAACATCAACGCATTGGCATCACCTAAAATGTAAAAAAAAGAATCAAAAGCATTTCCAGTTTCAGTATGCCATGATTATTAGTAGTTTTGCTACAGACTGAAGTTTCTTTCTGATAACCTGTTTCATCCACAAGACTTAACCGTGAAATAAATGATCAATAGAACCCACTAATCCTGGTTTAAATGGTTCATTGTTAATTGTCACATGCTCATTTCTTAAATACTTTTTCCATTCAAATATTACAATCTAATTACCAAAAATTGTACATCATTGATCCAAATTGCCTGCACCAATCATCATGCCTTCGCAGACAACGCGATCAAGCTCACCTATTCCTAATTTCCTATAGAAAACTATAAACACAAATCCTTTCCTGATCCAACACGAACAAACCTTGCCAACAAAGCGACGTTCAGCAAAAATACGAATCCATATCCAATTCCAAAGAAAACAGAATCAGAATATTTTCACATCAAAACAATCCGACGTAAATTTCAACATGAAAACACATAGAAGTGCACCAAACGCCGAGCAATCACACTTCCAAACAAATCACCGAAACAGACAAAAACCGCAGAAAATGAAGCAGCGCAATTGATTCACCACCACCTTTCCTCGTTTTCCCCCAGCACGGATAGAGAGGAAGACGACAGGGGAGGAGGAGAGAAGCATGCGTCGGTTCGGAGATCCTGTGATTGCAGCAATCAAAAGCAAAGCAGAAAACGAAATGCTCGCAAATCGTAATTCGCCGGAGAAACACCATTAATTGCCTAACATCTAAAATACAGTCGACTTATCACATTCACAGGAAACTAGGAAATACTATAAACTAAAACAATAATCACTTTAAAAGAAAACAATCAAATGCGTATTAATTACGTGTTTAATTTAGAAAATAACCTTATTTTAATTAAATGCTTAAAGTAAATACCTCTCTTTATTTGTTTTTTTTATTATAATATTCTTTCCTAAAAAATTTCTATTTTGCAAATTGTTTTCCTTGTCGGTCCCATTTATATATTTGTTTCTTTTAACTTCCTATTTATTCATTACAACTCTATATTTATCATAGTTATCTTATTTAAGAGATTCGTAAATTCTTGTCTTAGACGATTTATATATTGTACGTATTTTTATGATTGAAACAAAAAATTTCTGTTTCATACTCTAACATGGTATCAGAGCCCAATTCTCTCCGGATACTTCCATAACCAGTTATATTTTGTATATATTTTTATATTTTATTAATGTATTTACTTCTATCCACGATCATGCTATTATTTTCATGTCGTCTCCGTCTCTACTACTCCACTGACAGAGTCTACTTTCGACTCTAACGTTGTTGAGACTCTTGTTTTCGACTCTAACTCTATTGAGAGCGATAGAATCATGTTTCCGACTCTAGCTATGTTGTGGGCGAGTTAGTCCTGTTTCCGACTCTAGCTCTATAGAGTGAGCGAATCCTATTTTCGGCTCTAGTTCCGTTGTGAACGAGCGAGTCCTGTTTCCGGCTCTAACAGTGTTGAGAGTTCTGTTTCTGACTCTGATCCAGTAGACGGGTACACACTTTCAATCAATCTTGGCGAATTCAAATTCGTACGTGGAAGATCTCGGCTATATCTTTTTCGGTCGGTTCTGACAAACTCAAGTTTGTTTCATCATATATTGAGTTTGAGAAGGAGTGTTAAAATATATTTAGAAGCAATTTATTATATTTATGGTAGTTATCTTATTTAAGATAATCGTAGGCTTCTTGTCTTGTTTAGACGATTTATATATCATTATAAATATGTAAGTATTCTTATGATTGAAATAAAGAATTTTAGTTTCATATTCTAACAATTTCAACACGAGTCCAATTCGAATGGATTCTCTTAAAAATAATAATAATTAATTAAGAATAGAATTCGAATTGATTGGAAGATATAAACAAAGCATTCTTAGACAATAAAATCAAAGCAAGAAGCCAATTTTGGGACATGAAACAATTTAGAAAATGTAAAAATCACAAAATGAAATCAAACATGTCTTAAATTCAATTATAAATCTTGGTTCAACATATAGTACTCCTGATTGATTCTTAGTTTTAGTCTTGGTCTGTCTCATATATATTATTCTGATCAGATCAGTTGGGCCTTCGGCAGTTCTTCCTGACCTCGCCAAGGGATCCGGTGAGCGGTGAGATATCTCCCATCCGAATCATGGCGGCGCGGAAGTCGTCGCTGAAGGCCTTAGGGTTTTTGCTGTAGGTTCGAATGAGGGAATCGGTCTGGGCAGGAGCACCCGCGCCGTTGAAGAGGATTTGGTCCGAGTGTAGAAGGCCCTTCTTTTCTACGAGGTTTTGGTAATAAGCGATGTCGAAAGACGTAGGAGTTCTGTCGTCGAGAGGTGCCAAGTTGTTGTCGCCGCCGGTTAGGGGGCATCCTCTCTGAGCTGTGCGAGCGAAGGATGCGTCGATGTTGCTCTCATTGTGCACGCGCCCTCTGAATGTCGTGCATCGTGCTTGCCCTATTGTGTGTGCTCCTGCAGCATATATTTATAAAGAAAGTAGCTGATAATCAACATAACATGTTAATATCATATATAACATATATTTTCATAACACATTATATAATTCAGTATAGTACAATAATATATTGTAATTTCAGTATAATGAACAGATTATACATACGGCACAATACAATTGACAACCTACATGGTAAATATTAATACAATATATATGGCATATCACATCATATAAACATATTATAAAGTATAACATAATATATAACTTACAACATCTATTTTGTGAGGACATAGGTCAACTGCTGATCCGATCAAATTTGACCGGATCAACATATATTATCTTATAAGACGTTATATGTTGAGATATGTATGAACATATACAAGTCAGCTCTATAGCATATGCTGATCAGGTTAAATCATTACTATATTGACTTGATCGGATCAGCATAAAATTTACAGCAATTTTGAGATGAGTGTGTTAGATCAAATGTGTACGGTATTGACTTGACAAAGTAAACATCCTAACCCCATCTATATACATATACACGTAATGGATAGATATAATAAAGGATGGGTGCGGATAGGTGCTGATCCAATTAAATCAGCATGATACTAATTTGATCGGATCAGACATACAATATATATATTTGCATAATGTTGTGTTATAAAATATTATATGTTGAGTTATAATATAACATATAATGTATCATAAATAATGATATAATAGTATATAATATAAACTTATTGTCTTTGTATCATATGTTGACCCGATCAAATCAGTACCATATTAATTTGATTGAGTCAACACGGGATCAGCAACCTATAACTTATAAAGATTGATTGATTACCAGATAAGACAACCATGTCTTTAGTAGAAAGACCTTTGGCGGAGAAGCGATTGATGAGGTTGTTTAGAGTGGATGTCGGGGGTGGAATCGCTCCGCTGTTGGCTGCCGATAGGCTGGCTGTTCTCGAATCCCTCCGACCCACCTTCACATCCCACTTCGGCCCTCCCAGCTAAATTAAAGTAGTACTAGCTAGTAAGTGTCATGTTTGAAATCCTTTACACATAATACTCCCTCCGTCGTATAAAAGTACGTTCATTTGATCGGGCACAAATTTAAAAAAAAAAAATAGATAAAAATAAAAAAAAAATTCCTTTTATAGTAAAAAGAAAAATAGTATTTTTTTACTAAAAATAAAAATAAAAATAAAAATAAGTTTGAATTAAAAAAAAAAATGAAAATAAATTTGGATAACAGAAGGAGTAGTATATATAATACTATAATTCATGAATGAATTAGTACTGACAATAACGACGGAATGACGGGCGGCTATGGCCAAGATATCGGCGCAGGAGACAACGCCGGGGCACAAAGACTCCACCTTAGACTTGATGGCGTCCACCACATCGAATCCCCTCACTGAGTTGTTATTTGGTCCCGCCGTTTTCTCCCCCGTAAACGATGCCGTGTCATCCAATAGTATTGATCCGTCGCACCCCTGTATATAGATATATACATTTATAATAATTAAAGCATTGATCGACAAGCAGAGACGAAATTATACTAGGGCTTGAGGGCAATTGACCTCCCAAATCCAATTTTTTATGATATGTATTTATATACAATTCGCCCCCTCCCTCCTCCTTCAAAAAATTATCTAAATTCATATATAATTCTTTCATTATTTTTTATTTAAATTTATTGGTTAAATATTAAATAAATCATAACATTTTGCCTCCGAAATTTAGATGCTAGTTTCGTCACTGTAGACAAGTAGTAATTAATAAGTAGTAGCCGGGAGCAGACCAGGACGAAGCAATCGTGGAAGTGCAGTCGGAGAAGGGACGCCCCCATGCGGCGTTCCTTTGCTATGGCGCGGCTGACCACCGACTTCACTGCCTCGAACACCTTCGGGCACGTCTTTTTGTAGTAATCCGTCGTCAGACTCGACTGCGCCAATGTGCTGCCCGAAAGCAACGCACTCGATATCGCTAATACTAATACTAATACACTCACAACGGCACCCGGGGTGGCCATTAATTAATTAAATAATTAATTAATTGTAGATGGATGGATTGAGGTTGAGGTTGAGGTTGAGGAGCCATGCAAACACAAGCACGTATTTATACACATTTGGATCATGCGGAAAATGAAATTAAACTCGATCAAAATATTCTATGCGTGTTTCAATTGGCTCTTTTTTGAAAAAAATAAAATTAATTAATAATCAAATAATGATTTGGTGAAAGCAGTTTACCAAATGACGCTGACCACTATCACCATGCATATATAGCCAGCTTCGTCGAAACTTAATGTCCGCCGCTTGCTTGCTTGCTTGCATGCATGCATGCAAAAGTCAAATTGAGGATTTGTTAATTAACTAACGAAATTATAAATAATTAAGTGATCAAAATGGATATGAACAAGGGTGTACTAATTTTTTTTTTGTACATTTTTCTTTTCATAATTTGTAATTTATATTAAAATATTTTTTTTTCATAAAAAATAGATAAAACAATTTATTTATTTTTTAAAATATTACACTCCCTCCGTCATGCAAATGTGTGCTCATTTGATCGGACACGAGTTTTAATAAAAGTGACTAATAATGGTTACTTTTTCCTTTTATAGTAAAAATGTACAGAAATGTACTAATTTTAAGAAAAGTGAGCATAGATTTGAATGACGGAGGTAGTATTCAATATTTTATTACTCCGTCATTTCCAGCTAATTTGTCCACTTTAGTTGGGACACAACGTTTTATAAAATTAATAAGTAATTAAGAAGTTCCGATAAAAAAATAAATAAATAATTAAAAAGTGCATTAGTAAAAATAATTATAAATTAAGATTAAAATGACTAAATAGTTTAATTAAGATTAAAAAAATTATAAATAAATTTTAAGATGTGATTAAAGTGTATCATTATATTTTTTTTAAAAAAATAACAAATTATGTAAAATAAATTGAAATAAAAAGAGTGGACAAATTACGTGGGACCGATGAATTAATATTATTATTATTATTATAACCAAATCCATGACAACGAAAAACACAAAAGATATATAATCCAAATCGCAATCAACCAGACGTTAAATTATTTGATTGGTTGGGGTTAGGCTGCTGATGATTGACTTAATTACATGTTCACAATAAATCATACTTCTGACCATGCTCCTGACTGACTTTTGTACCAAGATTCCATCCGGATAAATAAATAAATTATTGTCCGTAAGGGATGACCGGGTGGTGTACGGATTGGACTCGTGACCGTGAGGTCATGGGTTTAAACCCCCGACGCTTCAGGTCCACCTGCCACACGTGGTTCGCCTAGTGTGTCTTTCCTGTCGGATCTGGTTTGCAGGGTATTAGGTTCGGCCGGGGTTTACCCAGTGCGCACTTTCGGGTAGCGGCTGCGGGTTCCCACGTCTTAAAAATAAATAAATAAATAAATTATTACATGAGTTCTCCATTTGAGTCGTAATTGGCCAATGAAGAGGCATATTTCTATTTCTATTTATATTCATAATTGTTAATGTTAATCACAATGCTGATTAACTTTGAACTATTTACATGTGTTTTGTGTAATCACCATGCTGATTAATTTTGAACTTTTAATTTTGTTTAAATAAATCTAATTGTTTAGATTAAATAAAACTATCATAGTCTTTTTAATTTAATTTTTAGAAGGTATATAAATTTTGTTGATGACTTTTTAATAAAAATGGTGACTTTTTAATAAAGGTATACTAGTCTTTTAATTTAATAAAAATCGTGATTTTTTATCAAAAAGTCACGAAAATATATACAGAATTATTTCCGCAGAATTTTACTGGTGATTTTTTTGAGTTGGTGAGAATTTTGTGATAATAAGTTAAAGAATAATACTATAATACGTCTGTCACTTTATATAATAACAAAAATTGCAACAAAATTTTATGAATATTTTAAAAATTGTGACATTTCTGTGACAATAAATTACAGAATAATATCATTACACTTCCGTGACTTTATATCAACGGTAGGGCCAATAATTTCACGACTTTATATTTTTTAAAAGAAATTAATTATATTATAATTATTGTTAAATGCACATCAATTTAGCTATCTACTTTTAAAGTATTAATTTTTATTTTATTTATATTTTAACTATATAAATGTTATTAGAGCATGGACATTACCTCTACTTCGTTTTCTTTTATCTCTCTCATCCACATCATATTCAACTCAATATTTAAATTATTTTTTTTTTATCTTTGTTATAGTAATCACCTTGAGCACATTACTTTTACTATTTTATATGATTCATAGTAATTTATTTATTTCTATATATTTTTATTATATAATATATATACATTATTTATTTATTTGTACATATTTCTATATATTTTTATTGTCTAATGATATTTTTATATAATATTATATTAAATTTTTTAATTTTAGTCTATATAAAGTTTAATATATTGAAACATATAATTTACTATTTTAAAAATTAAAATTATTTAAATAAATCAATATATATTTGATAATTTCTGTTAATTTTAAAATTTTTTTAAAAAATTGAATAATATTCAATTATTTTTGTTTTTAAATTTTTGTTGAAGGTAATCAGTTCTTGAGAAAGATGTCCTTCTTTTGAGGCCCAATAAAGTTCAGCGAACCAAATGACTGGTTGTGCGTCAAACATGGATGTAATAGTCTTTTATTCCACACCGGGTGTATTCTTCGTCATTGTTTATATTTCTCCCGATGTTGAACCTCTGTTGAGGTCTATACAGCTTTCTGTCGTTATAATGCCGATTTGACACATATCGGGATCTGTTTTGATAATTATTGTAATTGTATATGTTTGTCCGGCCCCGTCCGCATTATTGATTTCGATCGCAATCAATTCATTGATTTCTAACCTGCCCACGGCCACGCACCGGATTTGCCGGTTGTATTGCATTTGCCTCTGGAAATGGATTTGCACATGTCGGTCGAGATTCGTGATTTTTCAACAACAATTCGTTATTTTGTTCGGCTAGCAAAAGACATGTGATCAGCTCATAATATTTTTGGAAGTCTCTCTTGCGATAGTGCTGCTGCAAAACCATGTTAGAGGCATGAAAAGTGAAGAAAGTTTTCTCCATCCTATCAAATTGTTATTTTAAACATGGCAGAATTATATTTTTGAACTGTTTTAAAATTCTGAAGCCGTAGGTTTTTCATTCGCTTCGTGCTCTTGGCAACAAAGTCAATCTTTCCCGCAATTCAAGTTGGGATTCCAATGTCACATATTGTATTTTTAATGCCTCATCGATGTGATGATACAAAAGGATCGTGGCATTTGCACGATCTTGGCTCGGAGAATTTTTATCTCAGGCAATCGTATTTTCCAAATCCATTGATGCCAAATGTATTTTAACATCGCGAGCCCAGACTATATAGTTTTGGCCAGAAATGAAGAGAGGGAGAAATTCCTATTTGACAATGTTAGACATAATAAACAGATAAAATATAAAATATTACCTTGCGAAAATTAAAATATATAATCGTACCGATAACGTGATGTGATATTATTATAGAATTAATCAATAAAAATATTAATTATTTTTACCACTAACCACTATTTTATATACTGTATATATTATATATATAAAAGTATGCATATATAAATATGTGTGTGCACAATAGCGTGTTATTTATGTATGTATATTGTGTGTGCGCGCTGGTAAATTTATAATAGTATTCACCAATGTTCAATATATGTGTATTGTATGTGTACATTTCATAACACTTAATACATTTTCTTTCTAATTTGAATTATTTTTCTTTTTTATTTAGTGTGAACCCCCCTTTATATATATATATATATATATATATTATTATTATTATTATAAATCGTTTTGGATTAAATGCTAAATTCATTCATTCAGCACAGGTGTTGATAACATAAAATCCTAATTACTCTAATTAATATAATTAAATAATTAGTTAATATAATTATACATAATGTGTTTTTAAGTGTCAGCTCATGTGCTGAATTTTTTAAGTTAAACACCTGATCTATGCTGATTATAAATAGTGAAATGATCAATTTTTTACTGTTTTCCTCCACTGTTATATTGCATTTTGTATTTTTTTCTTTATGTAAGAATTAATATTTATTTTGTAGTTATGCGACATGCTAGCATTATTATTCCTCCTAAGGGGTTGTTTGGTTCGAGAATTTTTCTGATGAAATTGGGATTTTGCAGTAAGATTTATATGTGATATGATTTATTGTATTTAGATTTGGAATCCTATCCAGTGTTTGGTTCAAGGATTTTGATTTTTGATACTTTAAATGACGTAATTATCCTTCCACGAATTTGATTTATTGTGATAAATTAAACTTTACATTCATTTTTTTTCCGTAAACTTTATCTTTTACTAAATTTAGTGTATTCTAATAAAAAAATTTAATACGATTTTCAATTAATAATAAAATATATAATATATATTCATACAAAATATATGTTGTAATATATAATCTATACACTAAAAAATATAACAATTTAATTATTTTTTATACTATCGACATTCTTTATCATATTTAATATAAAAAAATAATTTAAACTAAAAATATAAAATTAATACACCATTAAAATAAATTTAAATTATTAACTGATATTTTAAATTATTAATTTATTTAAATTATCATTAGTAAGAGAATTAAATATATATAACATTTTTATAAATAAATATATAATTTGTAATAGTATGCTTAAATATAATATTATATTTTATAAAACCAATAAAATATAATTTAAATGTAAATATATATTTATATACATTTAATATTAAAAAGAAAAATAAATATGAGTTTTTTATGGGAGGGTATAATAGTAAAATGAAAAATACAATGACATCGAATTTTAAAGTAACAGGGGTATACTGTTGCTGAAAAATCCTACATTTGCAGGATTTTAAAATCTCATGCACTTAAAATTCCATTATCAATTTTATAACCAAACATGGATTCATTAGAATTTTAAAATCTAAATTCCATGAAATCCACGACCCAAAAAGCCCTAATTGATTGTTGCAAACTTGGATTGATTTAGTCCTATCATTTAGTATACACA